CTACTCAGGCTGAGTAAAATCACAAAAAAAAGAAATACAACAAATCATCTTCATCATCACCATCCTCGTCGTACTCCTCCTCATCAGTTTAATCAATTATATCGCCACAATAATCATCATCATTATCATCGGCATCTTTATTATCATTGAAATCATTGTTGTTGCAGCAACAAAATCGTCTAACGTTGACACAGTCAGTTTCAAAAGTGGACACGCGAACACATAGGCCACCAAACAAAAAAACCACAAGTGTTCACAAGCACAAACTTTTCGGTTTCCCCTTCCTTTTAGAATTGGGGGGAAAATAGAAACCATTAGAATGACTGTCACACACATTTATAAATAACCAATGGGAAATTATGCGTATACAGCAAGTGTGAAAAGTAAGTATGTGATTGGATTTATTTTTTTTTTTTATTTTTGTTAAGGCCCTAAAAAATATTTAAAAAAATTCAAGTCGTAACGAAGGGCTTCAAAAAATATGTGAAGGTCTTCAAAAACTATTGGCAAAAAATCCACGCCTCTATGATGGTCTCAACATGTATATAAAAGCTACTTGTCCATTAAGTCGCCTATACAAAAACTTTGTATTTGGAGCTAAAATATCACAAAATACAAAAAACAAAAAAAATTAATTAAAAAAATAAATAATTGTATACTTATTTTGTCTACTCACTGTATATGTTGCAAGAAAGAAAATATTGCAACAATGTTCTGTTTTTTGTGCTTTATAAAATTGAAATATTTCTTGGCCACTCATTCACCCATTTCACTGTAACTCAGTCGAAACATAAAAACCCATGCGGTTTGTTAACGATTTGTCACGACGAACGCACAAAAAATAAATAAAGAGGGGAACACCAACACCCTACATATTAACATATTTGTATATCAGATGGGTTATATTAGAATCATATACTTTTTATACCCTTCACCACACTGTGTTACAGGGTATTATGTCTTTGTGCATATGTTTGAAACAGACAAAAGGGAACTAGATAGACCCATAGTTCCTTTTGAGAATATGCATAGAATCACAGAGCACTGAATTAGGTCTAGGCTAATGTCTGCGAAGTTTTGATCAAATCGGTTCAGATTTAGATATAGCTCCCATATATAGTTTCGTAAGATTTTTTCTAAATGATACGCCAAACTCCCAATATTTGTCCGATTGGAACAAAATGCTGCAAAGGGCCTATGTTTGTTCGATTTACACACTTCCTATACATAATTTTACTCTATTTCATACAAGTGGTACACCAAAGAATCCAAGTCTGCCCGTTTGACATGCAATTTTTCATTGGTTTTAGAATGGTATTTGTATGGGGATTTTTCAATCGGTTCAAATATCAATCTAAATAGCAATGTCCTCCAAGTATTCGATGTCTTTTCTATCTACAGGATATTGTAGATATTAACATCTCTTGTATGTTCCCAAAGTGGTGAAGGGTATCATATAGTCGGCTCCGTCCGACTTTTAATCTTTCCTTACTGGTTTAAAAGAGTTTTTTTCAATACACAACCGCATGGGTGGATTCTTCAAGGTCTTACTACTGGTGTGAATTTTTTTCAAACGTTCAATTTCCATACCTGCAAAGAAATAGAGAGAAAAAAATTAAATTAGTGTTTTTTCAATCAAAAATTTGTCATTTCAAATAATTTATTGTCTAAAAATTCGGCTCTTTATTTCCCTTCGCCTCAAAATATGAATATACAACGAATATCTCCACCTTCCGAAATAATTGATTTAACAAGTTCAGATGAAGCTACACCATCTTCGGTGGAACACAATCACCACGGCAAAACTAATGAAAATTATGACAATGATGTAATTTTGGTATCATCAACATTGCCAGCCAATCGTAAATTTTCAAAAAGAAAATCATATTGGAAATGCGAGCGATCCGTTTATACAACTCTTATGTGTCCGATCTGTTTGGAATCGTGTATACGTCAGAAACCTACTTCAACACGATGTGGTCATATATTTTGTGAGCGGTGTATTAAGGAGCAATTACGCCTCGATTGCAAATGTCCCGTGTGTCGAAAGGAAATTAAAATCTCAACAGATTTATTTCGTATTCATGTTTAATAGATAATTGGTGATTTCATTTATTTTGTAAAATATATTTTTTTAATTACATTTTTATTCGACGAACATTATACATTTTATCTGGTTTTGTGGATGAAAACAAAGAGTTAGGGAGTAATCTATTTACATAGGTGGATTTTGTTCATAGATTTTTTAATTACTATGGTGCTGAATCATTCAAAAATGTTTTAAAATACTCTTGGATATTTTTGTTTTAACCCACTTGTGTGTTATCTTTATGGTTGCTAAAACTCACCGTGAGATAACTTGTTGACCTCTGAATCTCAATGACTCCTGATGGTCTGACGAGTCAAATATTGATTCCTTGTATAGTGTAGGAGATCATAATAACGATGGAAATCATAACACAGATCTCTCTTTTATAGCTAAAGAGAAAACATTCATTAAATGTCTCGACAATTGCTAAACGTCTGTCTGCATGCTATCTTGAAGTTTGCTGAACTTTTGTTAGTCGCTGGTGACGATGATAATGATTATTGGACTTTAGCTAAATGATGACACTCAAATGTGGGTGTAAAACAAATGATCAGTTTGTTGTAATATATCGAAATCATTCAGATATGATACACACACACACACGCAGTAGCATTGAAAAAGATCAAAGATTAATAGATTAAATGGAAACTATTCTGGTTCCCATACATCGGGTTAGGATCATCACCCCTAACAAAATAATTAACCTAAGCTGGAGAGTGCCAATTTTATCTAGGACCCATATAAGACATTTTTGCGAGGATGTTCTGTACCCTACAAAGACCAGGCAGTAATTTTTTTAAACTCATTTTCATGATTGAATTTGTTAGAAACTATTCTTTCAAGTGCAAACTCATGTTTGGATTTTTATTAAATTTTCTTAAGCCCAACCATAAGCATGAAGTGGTTGGGCCCAATGCTGTTTTTGATGTCCAACCTCAAGGTTGATTAAAATTTTTTTTTGGCATTTGATTTTCTTAAAAAAACGTTTCGCAATTCCAAAAACATATTTTTTAATGTCCTCACACAGGCTTGGATTTTTTATTGAAATATTTATTTCAAGATCCACACAGAACCCAGATTTTTGCACACTACACTTTATACGATACAGGCAATAGTATGGGCCAATCATATCGGACCAAAAAATACCCCTATTGATTTTGGTAACAATCGCTTAAAAATTAGGAGATGAAAAACATTATAATGACCCGAACACTACAACATTTTACATGGAAAAGGGAATATATCCATCGCAAAAGCATGGCCATTTTTATGATAACTGGTCAATATATTTAGCGGATCAAATAGAACCAGACGTTTGTTTTAAAAAAATTACAACATTTGTATTCTATGGTGTATATAGGTATATGTACACCTAAAGAACATAGACCGGAGAAATTGGCAGTATATCCAAGAGGAGTGGTTGACCTCTAAATTGATACCAATTATGCTGGTGTATGCATTCGGATGTGGGAGTTATATGTAAATATGTACAGGGGTCTAACTGGTCAGGCTGATGACTTGGCAATTTTGTCTGAGGTTCCGGTTATTGTAAAGGACGACACCTTTAATTTCCGATAATGATCAGTTGATATTCCGTGAAAAAAATTGACCGAATATTTTATTTCTGTCTGTTTTTCTGGATACCTCAATTTTAAACCGAACAATAATACTTTACATTTGTTTAACAACCTTCAAGGCCAACAGTGTTATTGTCACCGCCAATATAGCCAATATATTAAATTGTTTTACTTGTTTTACACACTTTCCACTTTGCGATGGTGTTAAAATCTGCCTACAGCAGCTACATGCATTTCTAGGTATTCCCACCAACCGTTGACAAGTTTAATGTCGATAATTTAAATGCAATTGTGTCTAGATACTAAAAATATATAATATTAGGTATTTCTTATACAGACGCTATCAACCAACCTTTTTTGGCGCAATTAGAAACCACTCCATACTCTGAAAAACTTTGAAATCAACTTCCACAAAAAAAAACTGTTACACCTTAAACCGAACACAATTTAAATGTAATACTTTGCACACAGTAATTCTAATTCACATTTAAAATATCTTAAATATTCCTTTTTTATTTTTCTTTTCTTTAACTTAATTTTATTTAAGCGAAAACTACAATAATTGTTTAAAACAAAAGTTTCACTTTGCTCGTTTGTGTTTTAATTAGTTCAACGACAAAAAATAACTTTGTAAGCCGATTTTTTTTTGTAATCGATTTTGCCATAATCGGTTACTCGTATGACAACTTGAGATGTGATGTTTCAGTAGTCATTTTGCTAAACCGTTTTAAAACGATTAAACATAATTATTTTTAAGATAGAACTATTCGAAATATATACTCTATTTAAGTGGTGTATGCATTATCATATTTGAATGAATGAATTCGTTTTGTATTGTGCAAGGTTTATTCATAAGGTTAACAAGGAGGCGAATTCAAAGTTTTCGTGGACTGTCAAATTTATTGTTTTGAGAATAAATAACCAAACAAATTTTTATTCCAAACCAAGGCCTATATAAGTCGGACGGTAAGTCTGCTTTTCCACAGGCAGATTTTTATTTGGCAAATTTTTTGTTTTCTCTTTTGAAATTTTCGCTTGCTTTTCCATTACCAAATTTTTCTTTGCCAAATTTGCGAATCAAAGTACAAAAGAAAGAAAAAAAACGTCAAAAGTGTTTGCATTTTAAAGATTTTTTTAATATTTTATTTATTTTTTATATATTTTATTATATAAATTGCAAATATTAAAAATTAAATTTCACTTGCACAAATTAAAACAACAGGTTTGTAAACAAAAGTCGGCTGTGTGTCAGTAAAGCGAATAGGTTCAAAAGGAAATGTGAACAAAATTGTTTTCAACGAACAGAGCAAAGCAGAATTTGCGTGTACGGCAAATTCTGAACAGGCAAATTTTTGTTTTTCTTCCTCGCACCCCTCTCGCCTACAAACTCAGTATTTGCCAAATAAAAATCTGCCTGTGGAAAAGCAGACTAAGCACAGGTGAGTATAAAACTCCTTGTACATTAGAACTTTTTACCGGGTTAACCTACTTTATGAGGATTTATTTGACATATATGCAAAGGAAATGACAATTGAAACCCACTGGGTTAACGAAATCCGGTTAAATGTAAACGTACTGTAAAGTTAGCTGTGAAGCACATTTGAACTATTTCAAGAGTTTAAAAAGATTTTTAAGTAAATTATCCTATCAATTATAAATTGTGTTGTGTTTTGGCTGTGTTTTTTATTTAAAGGCGAAACAATTAGTTAATTCGAATAGTTCTGTAATTATTTTTTCGAATTTTGGGACGATTGTCTCTAGATTGTGGGTCACTGAATCCAAAAATTTGATTTGTATCTTTTTTTCTTATTAGGATAATCGACAGGATCAATTTTTTCGGCTGTGACCTTATGTTCACACTACCACTGCTCGGGAACACGTTTTTTAGATGGTTTATTGATCGTCGCGCTAGCTCAGCTCGGGTTAAACTTAAGTTTTCTCTATCAATTCGCTTACTGGCCGACCTTATATAGGCCTTGTTCGAAACAAAGTATTAGTGAAATCATATCAATCCTGTTCTGGTTGGTATTAAAAAGTTGACAGCAGGAGAAGACTAATAGTACGTTTACATTTAATCGGATTTCGTTGACCCAGTGGGTTTCAATTGTCAATTCCTTTGATTTTTTATTTCCCTTTATTTTGAATTATGTCTTTATAATAAAAAACGTTTAAAGTTCGGATGGTTTCCTGAAAAATTTATTTAAAACATCCAAGTTAGTTAAATTTGTAATTTAAAGATTATTATTTAATAAATCCATGATCCAATAGGTCGGGGTAAAATTCTTGTTAATCTGATAGTTTTTTCATTTTAATGATAACTACCATGGTATATTAATAGAAGGTAACAGCAAGTGTTAAGGGCTAAACAGAATGTTCGCGTTGAGCGTTTTTTGTTATCGCGTTAACGCACGCAAAAAGTTAATATATATTTAACTTCAAAGCGCAGCGCACATCAACTTCATGCGTTAGTGTTATCGTTTCCTTGTGGTTGTTGTATTTTCGATAACACAAAACGCAACGGATGGCTCAACGCGAGCATTCTGCTTAACCCTTTACGGTACAACAAACGATACAACAACCACATGGAAATTTGTTGTTGTAAGTTATACTAGTGTCAACGTCATTTGACAGAAAAATATAAACAAATTATATTTATTTTGAAAATGAAATATTTTCGAATCCGCAAAATAAAATTTCAAAAACATGAATGAAAATCTATCAAATTTATATTTCTATCGTTTCCACGTCTTGCTTATAATTGAGCCATTGCCACATACATATATGTGCAAAAGATATGAAAATTCTGGGAATTACGAGTTATTTCATGAAGAAAGATTTGCTTCCTCAAACTTTCCCAGCAGGCAGATTGAGTAAATTGAATACGGGAGGACATTTAATAAAGAACAATTTGGGGTTGTATGCCTTCCCAATTTTCCTGTTGGGTGATTTTTAAAAACATAATTTGTCAGATTCCTGTTGACAACAGTATTACGTTGGAATCAGATCAGCTGGGATTTGCTGTTACCTTTTATAATTGTACCCATGGTACAATTATAAAAGGTAACAGCAAATCCCAGCTGATTTGATTCCAAGTAATACACTTGTCAATATGAATTTGACAAATTATGTTTTTTAAAATCACCCAACAGGAAAATTGAGAACGCATACAATTTGTAATTGTTCTTTATTAAATGTGCTCCCGTATTCAATTTACTCAATCTGCCAGCTGGGAAAGTTTGAGGAAGCAAAACTTTCTTCATGGAATAACTCGCAATTCCCTGCACTATCATTTGTGTTACACATATAAGTGGCAATGGCTCAATTATAGGAAAGATGTGGAAGCGATAGAAATATAAATTTGATAGATTTTCATTCATGTTTTTCAATTTTTATTTTGAGGATTCGAAAATATTTCATTTTCAAAATAAAAATAATTTGATGATAATTTTTTTGTTTGTTTACATTTTTCTGTCAAATGAGTTGACACTAGTAGAACTTAAAACAACAAATTTCCATGTGGTTGTTGTATCGTTTTTTGTACAACAACACTTGCTGTTACCTTCTATTATTATACCATGAATTGTACCATGGATAACTACATTTCTAAAAGCCTTTATTTTTATTGTTCATTTAATTACTGCAGACCGATATTTGTTATCGTTTCACTGCTGGTTACTTTACAGATAATTCGAGGTGTATTATTTGTTTTAATAATAATAATAAAATTGTAATATTTTATGCTCTTATAAAAATTTACTTCACATTTATTCATTTCCATATATTTAATTAATAAAAGAATATATAATTTTCATGAAATTAATTATATTTATACCGACTAGTTTATATTTATACTATGACTACCCATTTATCGATAACTAACACTTGGTTACTCATTCATTCTCGCGCTCTCTCTCTATTTCGACCGATTGCTCATCTCTAGCAATTTTTGACATCTGTTTGCCAAAAAAAGTTGTTGGTTGCTGCTTCGCTATTTGACGACCGAACGAGGCAGAGAGGCGAAATTTACGACAGTAGAAAGAAGAAAAGAAAATTTGCATAACTTTTGCATACTTTTTTGGTAAAACAATATCTGAAATTACATTAATTTTGCAAAACAAATAATGGCTGCCAGCTCAAGAGTTTTGCTTAAAGTACGCGGTAAGTGTTAAGCAGGCAGGCAGTGTACAAAGAAATCGTGAATAAATTTGCAAAGAAAAAACCAATTATATAACGTCATAGATGAAATATTAGTGATAACATAACCGGTGGCAAAAATATGAAGTACATAATTATTTATGCCTTATGGAAGATAACAAAAGATGCTAATAGGAGTGTTAATTGTGTGGAAAGTGCTCAAAGTTTTGGGTATAAAGTCAGTATTCTGGCTCTAAGACATTGAAAGAAGAAAAAAAAACAAGTGGAATGTCAAATATTCAATGACCGTGATTTTTTTCTTAATTTTTTTCATTGCTCTTGTTTTTGTTGTTGTAATTGAGAGTCTGTGGGAATGCAAGCAAATTAATTGAAAGTGAATGTGTGTGTATTTTGTTGTTGTTTTACCCTAGACTAAAGCAGTGATTTATCCGAGGAAGAGAACAATTTATTTCTTTTTTTTTTTTTTTTGCAAATTTATTTTTCGTATTTAGAATTTTAATTAATGTGTTTTCTGTTTTGTGTTTCCTATATTACAGATGGACTTGTTGCCGCCGTCCGCCACAACTCCCAATACAATCAGACACGTGCCAACTTGATGTTGACCGGTGAATCTCGTGTCATTTGCCAAGGTTTTACCGGCAAGCAAGGTACCTTCCACAGTCAACAAGCCCTGGAATATGGCACCAAATTGGTTGGTGGTATTTCACCGAAAAAAGGCGGTACCACTCATTTGGGTTTGCCCGTCTTTGCCAGTGTAAGTTGCATTTTCATATTATAGCTTATAAATTACATTTATAATTTTTGTAGAATACAGAAGTAGTAGGTCAGCCACATGCACAGTGGCAGAAACATAAATATAAAATAGGGTAGGACATTTGGCCCGATTGTTGCTCATCATTATTGCCACTAGCAGTCTTTTCACTACATCCTGACTTGTAGCTATTCAGATTTCTTAAGGTCCCTTTTTTATACCATCCACCAAATTTGTTTGGTATAGGCTCCATATTACGATAGCCCCAATATTTTGAAGTAATAAGCCACATTTCAAGCAAATCGCCGATAATTGGATTCCAATTAGGTGGCAAATCTTCAACCCAAATATTATCAATATTGGTCCTCATATAGCGATACTTCCATTATTCGGCATTTAGCGAATTGGCTATAATTTAAAACTTAGGGTTATTATCTTCCTACCACAAATTTTCATTAGCTTTCCCGTATAAAGATATCTCCAATTTTCGATATTTTCAGACACACTTTTCAACCGAATTCGTTCTAATTTAATATGTTGGTTTTCTCATGGGAAATATTGGAATAAATATTTGAATTTTCATCACTTTTGATCCTGATTAAAAAAATATTTTTGTGGAATCTTCCCATTTGTAGAAATATTTTGACCCTTAAGACTAGTTTTGAACAAAAAAAAAAAAAAAACCAAAAATTTATTCGACATCAATTCCAAAATTTTATTTATTTTTCTCTCTCTAAATTTTTTTTACAGGTAGCTGAAGCCAAAAAGGCTACCGATCCTCATGCCACCGTTATTTATGTACCACCACCCGGTGCTGCTGCTGCCATTATGGAAGCCTTGGAAGCTGAAATTCCATTGATTGTGTGCATTACTGAAGGTGTACCACAACACGATATGGTTCGTGTTAAACACGCCTTGTTGACCCAAAACAAATCACGTTTGGTTGGTCCCAATTGTCCTGGTATTATCGCTCCCGAAAGAGTAAGTAGCTATCGAGACAAAGTACACATTATTTTCATTGCAAATCTCACATACAATCATATTTTTATTTATTGTTTTTGCAATCGCTTTTCAAAACTGATAACAACGTTGCTATTTAAAATTGTTATTGACTTCAGTTTTTATATTAAAAAAGTAGACGAAGAAAAAAGAGAAAACATATTTAACAACAACAAGCATCAGTAAATAAAAAACAAACAAATGAACACGGCATAGTATACACACATATAGACGAGAGACCTTTGCAAAAGCGGACAAAGTTCATTAATTGTTTTTCATTATCATTTTATGTGGATGATTTTTTTTTTTGTCTCTGATGTGCGATGTCTGGTCAGCATTTTGCCAGTAGTATTTCCATTGCCATTTTATTTGGCAGTTCTTCTTTATTTTTTTATTGATTATACTTTCCCTTCTATTTTATTTTCTTTATCGCAAAAATAAACCCGGTATGCGTAAACAAATTTTGGTTATGACGACATAGTTTTCAGCAAATACTGTATCACCATCCACATCATGATTATCAGCTGACTATTTGGCCTGTTTGTTCATATGACTCATCATTTATACTTTATTTCCATTTTGTTTATTTCCAAAAAAAGCCTCTTTAGTCAAAAACAAATTCACTTGGATACTAAAATTTAGTTTAAACTAAAAATTTACACATATGCATAACCTTATGGATATCAATTGTTGATTATCAATTATTAATATTTATTGTATTATCTCTTTCTCCCTGACGCGGTATTTTCAGATTGTTTATATATGATAACACATAGTGGACTTTGATCTCATACTCTCAATATAGTTGCTATTGCGGCGGCATGGCATCTGCTACAATTAAAAAAAAAAAAAAACAACTGGTCTGGCGAATAGTTTTATTTATTGGAATTGAATTTTGAAAATAACAAGACAACTAGTAAAGCAGGTGGTCGGTTTATTATTGAAAGTCGTAGACAATTTCGAATTTGTTTATATTTAATGAACATTTTCAAAATTGTCTAACCGGCCTAATAATCTACCGATATGAGAACTATGTTGTTGGTTAAATGAACAGCCTCAGACCTTTTTTGTTTAACCACATTTTTATTATTCTGACAGATAAAACATATGGCTCAGGTTTAAGACCCCAAGTATATCCGTTTCAGACTATTTGTAGTCATCTGGTGGGTTTGTGTGTCTCAATCTGAATCTGAAAAATATTGGAAGTTCGGTGCACCATCTACATAAAATCGGATGAGACTATATAGAAGTTATATCTAAATCTGAGCCAATTTTCACGAAACGTAGCACACATCACTTCTGGCGCAATTTAGTACACTATGCAAAATTTCGTGCAAATCAAAATGTATATAGGGACTTTGGTGCACCATTTAAATAAAATCGGACGAAACTATATATGGAAGGTATATCTAAATCTGAACCGATTTTCACGAAACTTAACACAGATCATTCTGTACTTAATTCAGTACGCTATGCCAAATTTTGGGCAAATCGAAAGATATATATAGGGACTTGGTGCACCATTTACATAAAATCGGATGAAACTATATATCGACTTTCACGAAATTTAGCATACATCACTTTAGACTTAATTCCGTACGCTGTGCTAAATTTCGAAAGATATTTAGGGACTTTGGTACACCATTTACCTTAAATCGGGCGAAGATATATATGGGAGCTATATCTAAATCTGAACCGATTTTCACGAAACTTGGCGCACATCACTCCAGGCGCAACTCAGTACGCTATGCGAAATATTGTGCAGATCGAAAGATATATAGGGACTTTGGTGCACCATTTACATAAAATCGGACGAAACTATATATGGGAGCTATATCTAAATCTGAACCGATTTTCACGAAGCTTAGCACACATGATTCTGCATTCAATTCAGTACCCTATGCCAAATTTCGTGCAAATCGAAAGATACAGTGGTGGTCACAGAATTAAAACATTTACTGTGGTAAACATTTTATGATCAGCCCTCGATTCGTTTGAAGTATTTTTGAAATTTTTTTAATTCAGAACACTTCGATATACTGCACTTAAGAGATTTAGTGTGATAATAGAAACTTTTTGCATGCAATTTTTCCATAAATAACGGTTTTTATGAAAATACATCGACTTTGAAGTGGCCATATAATTAAAACATTTTGTGGGATTTTTTACTTTACTGCATTTTTTGAAAATATTTTTAGAAAATCTCTTTAATTTAGTTAAATTATGTAAACTAAGCACCGATAAAATCATTTACAGATAAAAATGTTTGAAAAAAATCTGTAAAATCTGTCAAAATTGCCAACAATTTGTACAGTACAACTTATATTCAGAAAATCACCCTTATTATAGAAAATAAAGGTCCGAATGCACCAGAAATTGCTAGAATTTGTAGAAAACAATAAATAATTCTCAAAATAAATAAATATTTGAAATAAAAACTCAAAAAATGGGAATTAACCTAAATTAACGATGCAATTTCAATAGCCTTTACTGAAGAAGGCCGGAATATTTTTGCAGTATGTGAGAAAAAAATCGATTGATATTGGTATTTATTATATCAAATCGACTGTTCGAGTAGTACAGAATATATTTTATCAAAAAATATATCTGTCAGAATAGAACGAACAGAGATCAACGTCTAGGTTGACGAGTAAAAGTTTCTGGCACACAGCAGTATGTTTGATGGTCAACTCTCTTGACCCTTAAAATCTATTGAACATGACAATATTTTTCCAAAATAATATTTTTTGAATCGAATAACATCCACTTAATCTATTTTAGTATCATGGAAGTAAAAATTTTACAGTTTGACAAATATTTGAAGTCTTGTGTTGAACATCAAAAATGCTGCTGTGTGCCAGAAACTTTTACTCGTCAACCTAGGCGTTGATCTCTGTTCGTTCTGTTCTGACAGATATATTTTTTGATAAAATATATTCTGTACTACTCGAACAGTCGATTTGATATAATAAATACCAATATCAATCGAGTTTTTCTCACATACTGCAAAAATACTCCGGCCTTCTTCAGTAAAGGCTATTGAAATTGCATCGTTAATTTAGGTTAATTCCCATTTTTTTGAGTTTTCATTTCAAATATTTATTTATTTTGAGAATTATTTATTGTTTTCTACTAATTCTAGCAATTTCTGGAGCATTCGGACCTTTATTTTCTATAATAAGGGTGATTTTCTGAATATAAGTTGTACTGTACAAATTGTTGGCAATTTTGACAGATTTTACAGATTTTTTTCAAACATTTTTATCTGTAAATGATTTTATCGGTGCTTAGTTTACATAATTTAACTAAATTAATAAGATTTTCTAAAAATATTTTCAAAAAATGCAGTAAAGTAAAAAATCCCACACAATGTTTTAATTATATGGCCACTTCAAAGTCGATGTATTTTCATAAAAACCGTTATTTATGGAAAAATTGCATGCAAAAAGTTTCTATTATCACACTAAATCTCTTAAGTGCAGTATATCGAAGTGTTCTGAATTAAAAAAATTTCAAAAATACTTCAAACGAATCGAGGGCTGATCATAAAATGTTTACCACAGTAAATGTTTTAATTCTGTGACCACCACTGTATATTGGTACTTTGGTGTACCATTTACATAAAATCATACAAAAGTATACATGAGAGATATATCTAAATCTGAACCGATTTTCTCGAAACTTAACCCACGTCATTCTAGACTCAATTGAGTACACCGTGCCAAATTTCGTTCAACTCGAATGATATATAGGGACTTTGGTGCCCTATTTACCTTAAATCGGACGAAAAAATATATAGGAGCTATATCTAAATCTGAACCGATTTTCGCGAAACTTAGCACATATCGGATCATAACTGCGACTTCTACTTTGTTTATAATTTAAAATTAGCAGACGGACATGCATAAATCGACTCAGAAAGTGATTCTATGCATATTCTCAACAGGAACCATGTCTGTCTCGTAAAAAAATCGATCGTTTGAAATAAATATTAAAAATGTGCAAGTTATTGGAATACAAGATCCTGAATAGTCCTTGTAAAGTTTTTTTTTATTTTAACAAAATTATTATGTTTTGTCTATTTTATAAAACATTAGCAAATTTATTGCAAAGAACAAACACGTGGAAACCTTTAACAATTAATTAATTGTCCAAGGTCATAGCGAACACATTTTCATTCATACATTCTCATTATGATTGCCAACAACAACAAAACATTTCATTAACATTACAAAAAAAAATTGAAAAAAAAACAATTAGAATTGAATTTAATTTTATTTTGTCCCCCTCTCTCTCCCTTTGCAGTGCAAAATTGGCATTATGCCCGGTCACATTCACAAGCGTGGCAAGGTCGGTGTTGTCTCCCGTTCTGGTACCTTGACTTATGAAGCTGTCAATCAAACCACTGAAGTTGGTTTGGGCCAAACTTTGTGCGTCGGCATTGGTGGTGATCCCTTCAACGGTACCGATTTCATTGATTGCTTGGAAATCTTCCTCAAGGATCCCGATACCAAGGGTATTATTTTGATTGGTGAAATTGGTGGTGTTGCTGAGGAAAATGCTGCTGCCTATTTGTCACAATATAATACTGTGAGTTATTATTTTGTTTTGATATATTTTTGGAATATTTTATAAATGATTTTTCATTTTCTTTGTTATATAGGGTATCAAAGCCAAGCCTGTTGTCTCTTTCATTGCCGGTCTCTCTGCTCCTCCCGGCCGCAGAATGGGTCACGCTGGTGCCATTATCTCTGGCGGCAAGGGTGGTGCCGGTGACAAAATCAAGGCCTTGGAGAAGGCTGGTGTCATCGTTACCAGGAGTCCAGCTCAAATGGGCAAGGAATTGTTTAAGGAAATGAAACGTTTAGAATTAGCCTAGGATTTAATGCAACGCCAAGCGAAAAGTTGTATCTTGTAGTTATCACAAAAAAATAAAAACTACTCAAAACTACTTCTCTAGAAATCAACCACTCTCTACACTATCACTACTACGCGAAAAGTCAAAAGTTTAACTTAAAAGTTAATGTGTATTAAATAATAAACATTGTTATCATGGAATACAATTCGAACTTAAAACAGAAAATAAAATAAAAATGCAAAACCATAAACTCAACTACATAAAAAGAGATTTCCATTTTCCAAAAACAAAAACTCATCAACTGCCAATATTGCAAATAAACAAACTCACCTAGAACTAGCAACTACTGCTCATCAAAGTGCAATGTAAGGCCTCGTAAAGAATGATATTAATTAAAAATAACAAAATTCTCTTTTTAGATAAATATTTTTTTTTAATATTACAAAACAAAAAGTAAAAAAACAATTATATATGTGTTTTGTGAAATGAGTTTTCTTAACTCCTGCCGCCGTTATTTTTTGGGTGTTTTTGCACTTGTTGTTGTTTTATTATGTCGTTAAATTGCACGCACCGTTGTTGTGAATTTCGGAGATCAATCAATCATTCATTGATTTCCTTAAACTAAAGCACATTAGAGATGTATTTACCAACTGTATCGATGGAGAAGAAGAAACAAATCTAAAGTGGCAACTGAAATTTATTAAATAAAAATGCAAAACACAATAGTAAGAAATGCATATTTTTTGTGTGTATTTATTAAGACATAAACATTGCAATACTATAGAAAAAATATTACAAAGAAGAAAAATATGAATAATAATAATAAATATAAAGAAACTATGCAAAACTATCAATAGAATTATCAAGGGGTTTTATTTAATATTTCTTTCAAAAAGTGAGGAAAACAATTTAGAATATTCAGGAGGGGTTTTTTTTTGTTTAAGTCAACTCTAGGGGCTCCACTCGGTTCGCTTTGAAATTTACCGTAAGTAGTCCTCGTTGAGCTGATTACAGTGATATATATTTTATGTGGGGGGAATCTTGGTTGAAACGCCCGTTTTAATAATGCCACCAAAGCAATATGGGTATCATTTTAAAGGGTTTGGATAGTGCTTTAAAACTAAATAAAGAATTTATTTTTATAATCTATATAACATTAAGTAAAATTGAAAAAAAAGAAATATTTGGTTTCAAAGCCATGTATGCGCCTGGCCATAGGTGAAAGTCTAAAGTCGCGGCCGACTACTTAAAAACCATAAATTTGATTCTGAAATTGCTCCTAAAAAGGATTTGGATTGGATGTGCCTGTAAATAGGTGAAAGTTATAAGCCCTGGCCGAAGGCCGTCTACATAATAAACCCTTGAACTTGATTTTAAAATTGCCTGTTTGCGCCTGTCCATAGGTGAAAGTCTTAAGCCACAACCGAAGGCCGGCTACTTAAAGTGGATACAAGAGAATTCATGCCCGACTTGTTATGTTTGTTTTTTGGGAAAGTACTCGTTATAAGCTTTAAAATGGTACCCATATTGCCTTTGTGGCATTAGTAAAACGATCGTTTTAACCAAGAAACTCGGAACGATATCCATGGGTCACATCTGGACTTTCAAGTATTAAAAATTATAAAAATAAACTTTTTAAAAAATATAAAAAATCAGGCTCCTCTATAGATTATGCTAAATATGCTGTCGCAAGGTCTAAATATACGTCAGAGTCCCGAAAACTTTACAATCTTTATTTAAATAAGATTAAACTTAATTTCAAATCAAATCCTAAATCTTTTTTATGACTTTGTTAATATAAAAAGAAAAGCTACGTCAAAGCCCACTATCTTGAAATTCAATAATCAGACATTTGAGAAAAACTCTGAAATTTCAGAGTGCTTTGCAAATTTTTTCGCTACAACATATTCATATTCACCCTGTCCAAATAAAGGTACATATAGTTATAAATTATCGACGATAGATCAAATATCTATGCCTTTTTTACAAAATCAATATATTTCTAAAAATCTACGTAATTTAAGATCAATTAAAAGTCCAGGTCCGGATGGCATTCCTAGCATAATTCTAAAGTACTATTCAGATACATTAGCTATCCCTTTAACGCTATTGTTTAATTATCCCCTGAAATATAGTCATTTTCCGACCTTCTGGAAGAAATCCTATATAGTTCCTTTACATAAATCTGATAGCTTAACTAATGTCTCGAATTATAGAGGAATAGCTAAATTGAGTGCAATTCCAAAATTATTCGAAAAACTGATTACTGATGTAATTTCTCATAAAGTTCAGCCAATCTTAAGTGCATATCAACATGGTTTTCGTAGTGGCCTCTCAACCATTACCAATCTTATTCAATTTTCCTCAACCGTCATAAAAGGTTTTATTCAGCGTAATCAAACCGACACGATTTACACTGACTTCAGTAAAGCTTTTGACAGGGTTAACCATGAACTTTTAATATATAAATTAAATCAAATTGGTTTCAGTATAAATTTAGTTAAATGGATATCATCTTATTTGAGAAATAGATCACATGTAGTTTTGTTTGATGATTGTCACTCCAAAACCATTAATGTTCCTTCCGGTGTTCCCCAAGGAAGTCATTTAGATCCACTCCTCTTTCTTCTATTTATAAATGATTTACACAATGCAATAATCCACACCTAAACTAAACGGTAATATACCCTCAGACTTCCTAATTTCATCCATTAGAATAAATGTTCCTTTTCGATCAAGTAGATATTATCAACCATTAAACGTAGACTTTCATCGCACAAATTATTCTATGGGAGATCCACTTAGTAAAATGTGTATTGATTTCAATTCTGTGTATTCTAACGTAGACTTTTGCTTGAATATAGAACTAATAAAATCTAATATAATCATATTTTTAAATGAATAATACTTAATAACTTAATAACAAACTGGCAGTTGAAGTAGATTTCTGTAGCTGGTTTTCTATCCCTTCTCATATTCCATCATAATGCGGATTATGGTGTGTACGCGATGCCTACGAAAGGGGAGGTCGCCCCCTCGGTCGGCAGGGGTGGGAAGTGAGGCGTATGCTCCGAACTTTCAAGGCCCATATCTCGGAAAGTATGCATTTCCCCACATAAAATATATATCACTTATAATCAGCTCAACAAGGACTACTTACGGTAAAAATTTCAAAGCGACCCGAATGGACCCCCCAAACTAGACTTGTTCCTTTTTTTTAAATATGTTTTAAAAATTAGCAGTTCTATTCAGTTTCAAATCAAAAATTTCAAAAATCAGGAGTCATCGCACCTCTTAGAGGACCTTCAGGACTATTCTGGGGTTTGGAAAAAAACTGTTTAATAAATCCAACGTCTGGGACCTTTAAATATCCATGCCGATACTATGTCCTGGAGAAAAAAATCAACCCTATGCTTTCTCTGATACCTTGAAAAAAGATTCATAAAAATTTACGCCTCTTCAGGGATCTTTGAAAAATTCACATAGGACCTTGAAAAATTCAGGACTATTCTGGGGCTTTGGGAAAATTTTAGGGACTTAATTTGTATAAATCTACAACTCTCCAGAGGCCTTGAAACCTTTTTTTAATCCATGTGTCTACTGGGACCTTTGAAAAATATTTTTAAACCAGTGAGCGGAGCAGTATAGTCGGACGGGGCCGACCATATTAAAACCCATATTTTAATCGAAGCCTGGGCTTCGTTATATTTGCCCGATTAGAGGTCAAAAGAATCTCTTCCTTACACTGACAAATTTTCCGAATATTACTAATATTCAGTACAGTTCTTGTAATTACTTGTCCAGGTTCTCTTTACCGTGGGTTATGTTGTGATGTTGGGCTTTCAATTGGGGCCTATAGATCGGCTCAAAAAACACACACATAAAAATAAGTTTTCGGTCCATTTCATCCCAAAATTATTATCTGATCATCACCGAAAATTATAGGCGTTGTCCTTGACCATAACTGGAACCTCATGGAAAATTTCAAATCGATCAGCGCTATATTTCCGCCCTCTATTGTGGTAATGTGTTACTAAATAATGTCGCGGTACGTAAACTCCTGCAAATATATAAGAGTAACTCCCACATCTGAGTACATGCGACAATATAATTGGTATCAATTTAAAGGTCAACCACTCCTCTTGGATATACTATCAGCTTATCGGGTCTATGTCCTTCAGGGGCATATATATACGCCATAGAATACAAATTTTGTAATTTTTCACACAAAAGTCAGGGCCCATTTGACCCGGTAAATATTGACCAATCTTTATCAAAACAGGCATACTTATTCTTTAGCCCGATCACGCTGTCCATGCGATGTTCGGAGCGGCCCTAAATATACACCGATCATTACCAAAAACAATAGGAGTCTTCATTGGCCAGAACCCATCCTGCATGCAAAATTTCGTGAAGATTGGTCCATAACTGTGGCTTGTATCGTGTTTACAAATTATAATGGGCAGACGGAAGGACACACTTGTATAGATCGACTCAGCTAGTCGAGATATGACGATTGGTATACTTAAAGGTGGGTCTAGGACCTATATTTCGCGGCGTTACAAACTTTTGGGGCTGCACAAAGCAATAATACCCTGACAGCATAGTTGTGTAGGGTATAAAAATTTTCGAATCCTCTGGGACTTTAAAAAGTATTTTTTTAAAAAATCCACACCCCTTATGAGTTTTTCGGCGTTTTAAATCCCAATATTAACAATTTTTTGTTAATGAAATCCCTATTTAAATTCATTTATATGTTCTCTTTTAAATCTTTTATTTTACTCTCTCTATCTCTCTGTTTGCTGCTTCCTATTAGCCATGGTTTATAGCCAGCCAAACAAGTCTTAGATCAGTCATATGCTGAACGCGATTTAGACGAGACGTGTTGTCTTTCATAGCCCGGTCAACCGCGCGTTATACCAAAAAAATAGCCCATAAAAGACGCGTTTTACCAGAATTTTGTGTTCTTATTTCAATTTTTGGTGTACCACAAAAAAAAAAAAAAATAGCCAACAACGAGAAGAAAAGAATAAAAAATTAAAAAGAAAAAAATGTGAGTTTTGGAAGTGTGTGGAGGCAAT